GAGTACTTTAACCCATAAATATAGGATACCTTAAAACTATATTTTATATATATATATATATATATATATATATATATATATATATAATTATATATATATATATGCATGTTTCATATATATATGCATGTTCCATTAAAAACGACAGACGAGGTACTACGATTAAGCTTTTATTTAATTTTAGCCATTATCAAGGATAATTTTATTTATTCAGTTTAGATGAGTGGATGCGCTGTGTATATGTTTTTAGCGTTATAGAGATGTTTTATTTTCCGAAGTCAGTTAGCACATTGTGGCTGTGTTCGTAGTTCTTTTTATCAAGGCTGCCATTATTTTTAACCTTTTTTTTACAGGTGGATGAGGTTATTATGTATGTATTTTCTACTACTATGTTTCGGACGGAGTCTGGTAAGTTTGTGTGTGTGTTGAAATGGGTTCTAATAGCGCTGTGGTCAGATAGGTGGAACATAAGGCGTTTGGATAGGCATGTGTTCGGAAAATAAAATATATCTATAACTCTAAAAGCATACACAGAATGCACGCATTCAATTAAAATTAAATAAAATCACCCTTAAGTGAACATAAAAGTCAATACTTAGAGGCAACAGTCTGTTTCATGGTAGATGCAATCGTCAGGCCATCAGGTGGCCTGACGATTTGCACGCGCTGTATCTCTGATATTGAGCATTTTATCCCATAAATGTAGCACATCTTAAGACTATATTTATTCATATATATATATATATATATATATATTATATTACATTATATTATATTATATTATATATGCAGCAAAATGTCATTTAAACAATTTTAATTAAATTCAAGCGACAAGATATGCCTGCTTAACGTTTTATTGTGTTTTCCAAATTTCCAATTCTTTATTACACACACGGATCAAAATTATGGATCAACTGATAAAAGTTTATGTTTTTTTTCAGTTTTTGTTCAGGCATTTTTGAACGTCCTGTACATTATCAGGAACTAAAATAGTAACACCATTAATTTCTTCTACTGTAAGAAGATACACGCTATCAACAATGATAAAGAAGCAATTAAAATCTAATTCAGCGTTTCATATCATTTACTGATTGAAATAAACGCCTTACCTTTATAATGACCAGTAAATCGGGACCTGATTATGAATTCTTATCTGAAGAAACTATGTCTGTAATTAACATTTGTCTTCCAGTTGATTTATTTTTATCTTGGCATAAATAATACATTTTTTTTGGTACATTGCAATTATATGAGGAATTAATTTTTATCCTATTTATATCGGCAACAGATGGAAAATAATTAGGTAACGCTAAAATAGACATGTTTTTCCGAAATTAAAGACAAAATGCTACACATTGTTTTAAGAAATTACAAAAATCAGAAAATTATTCGCGATTCAAATGGAATGTTTAGAACTTATTCATTAGTGAAAGCATTTTATAGTGAATAGGTTATTTTATTAGAAAACTGTAGGAATATAATTGCAGAAGTTTAGTTACTCCCTGATTCGATATATTGTGAATTCTTTTAAAATTAGGGAAGGTTGATAATAAATATTTCTTATATGTTATAAAGAAAATCCCTGAAGATGTTGTAGTAACTGATATTTGACAATAAGAAATAAAATAAAATTTTGAAACTTTGTCCTGGAACAAAAAGAATTTAATAAAATTGTCCTGGAACTTTACGAAAACAATTTTTAAAAAATCAAAACATATTATTTTTTTGAAAGTTGAGGTTTGCATGACTTAATAAAACACATTATTTTCTTTCAGATTTTACAAGAAAAAAAAACTACAAAAATAATTATTTTTGAAAAATTTACAAGTAATTTTTATGCGATTTTGAAGTTCTTCCAGTTGAGATTTTATTCATTAAATAAAAATATGTTTCAAGAATCGAAAAATATAAAGTTTGATGCCATTTTTGTATGAGAAATATTTTAAAAGAATTTTATTTATTATAATAACTGCCAGATTATTTCTTTACATGGAAAGTCAAATATGCTTAAAATAATTATATATGAAACCTGGAGGTGTTTAGAATATTTTATATTTGTTCCTGAAATGAAGCAAAGCAACAGCAATCCATAAACAGTATAAAATCGATAAGTCTTTATCAATTTACTCCAATTTGTTTTTTTTTCTTTTATAACAACACTATTGTTTAAAAATTCTTAGAATAATTAAAATACAAGATTTGGCTTGAGTATTTCATGATATCAAATAGTAAAAAAAAAAGGATTTACAGAATAAATGCCAAATATGTAAATAAAAATGAAATAAATGCGATGGGTAAAACCTATTACTATATTTTCTTATTTTAAAAAAATATTTACCTGTTTCTATTAATATAAAATATATCCTACTAAGAAATAATTTTATTTATAAAATAAAAATATGCTCTTATAGAAAGTTAAAAATAATTATTTTTACACATAAACGAAACTAGTTTCTGTATTTTGGTAGTTTGGGGTTTTCGAATTTAATCAAATTTGAGGCAGACTTTTTGTAAAATTGGTGGTTGTGGGAGGTAACTTCAGTAAATTTGAACTGTGGTTTTGTCGACTATTGGAATATAACTTGCTGCGTTCAAAGGTATTTTCGCTATATTTTAAGCATACAGTAAGTAATATCTTTCCACAATTCTGTTGATTAATCCTTAATTTTGCTACTATTTGGAGATATATTTGATTTTTTAAAAATATTTTTAAAGTTTCTGAAGATTTTTGTCATCATTTTTCAATAAAAATGGAGTATCGATGGTAAATTGAGCGTAAGAATGTTTTTAAAATATCTTAAAATCTTACTGAATTTATTTCTTATAGTTTCGCTTTATAGATTTAGCTTTCAAATTTTATTAAAAAGAAATATTTAAATTATTTTACTGCATTATAAGGATTTTAGCTAAAATTTTGGCGCTGCCTAAAAAATAGTTTACTATGTATGGAAAAGAATCCTGATTGATATTTTTGTCCGCAATTCCAAAAATTTTCGAACAAATTTATACTGTCTTTACCGCAACATTTTCGATTATCAATCAATAGATTTCAAAAGTTGGAAAAGTTTTTCACATTATTAAACAAGTTATATATTTTTTTCTCTTTCATCAATTATAAATATTATGAACGGAGTATTTTCAAAAAAAATATATCAGTCAAATCTCCATTTTAATTGCAAAGTGTATTATAAGGAAAAACATTACACGATGGT